TACACAAAGATTTCTTAGATGGGACACCAAAACACAACCACAAAGGAAAAAAATTGAAAAATTGGACTTCATCAAAAGTAAAAACTTCTGCTCTTGCAAACATCATTGTAAAAATTAAAAAGGGAAGCCATAAACCGGGAGAAAATATTTACAACACCCATATCGGACAAAGGACTTACATCCAGAATACATAAAGGACTCTTACAACTCAATAAGATACAACTCAAAAGTTCAACAGGAAAATGGATAAATCAAATATGGTATATTCATATAATAGAATGTTAGGAAAACAATGCTTCATGAATATTTTCACGTTTCTGGACAGTTTGTCTTCCTGAGCAAAGGAAATCGGCACGTCATAGAATATCTCCTGTTCCCCAGACTCATTTGCTCCTCATGTTTCAAGGGTGTTAGGCCTGGAGCTATATGTTCCCAATGGAAGGATAAGAAAACGTATCTCCTCCAGAGCCAAATGTTTGCATCCAGGGTACGGATTTTCCTCTTTGCCTTCCTGAGAGAATTCATTTACTTTCTAAAATACTTGTTTACCTTAGGGGTATAGGGCTTCTCTCCCTCTTACAGACTATCTCACCTTTAAGAACTTTTTTTATTACTCTAGTAAGAGGCTATAAAGCAAGCCACAACAAGAATAAAAATATTTGCAACATATATAACTGTTAAAGGTCTCATACTCAGCATATGTAACAAATTCCTTCAAACAAATTAAAAATAAAATAAAAAGACAATATAATAGAAAAAATAGACAAGAAATGAGCAGATCCATGCAAGACACAAATGGCTAATAAACTTATGAAAAAGTTCTAAATGTCTTTAATCATCAGAAAAATGAAAATGAAAACCACAGTGAGATACGACTACATATCCTCTAAAATAGCTAAAATTATGTAGCCTGAAAATACCAAGCGTTAGCAAGAATGTGGAAAAGAACTCTCATTCCAGCTGATGGGCGTGTACACTGCTACAACTTTGGCGAACAGGTTTGACATTATTTACTTAAGTTGAAATTATGTCTGTCCTATGATCCAGCAATTACACACCTGGGTATGTAGCTGGCAGAAACATGCCTACCCAAGCAATAGACACATACAAGCATGTTCAAAGCATCATTATTGCTAATAGCTCCAAACCAGAAACAACCTAAATGTCATCAAAAATAGAATGAAAAAATCAATTGTATACAATGAATAACTTCACAGCATTGCACTATGGCTGTAGGTAACAACACGGATGACTTTCATAGCATAATATTGAGTGCGAGAAGCTGGATAAAATGGAATACACACTGATTTGGTAGAGAAATGAAGCAGTATGGGCAGGCTTTCTGTAGGGTCAGCCTTGTTCTATTTCTTGACTTGGGTGATGCTTATCGACACTTTTCACTTTGTGATAGCTCATTCAGCTGTAACATCTAATTTTGTGCATTTTTCTGTATGTGTATTATACTTCACAATTACAAAATTTTTAATAATGCACGAACCACTTCTCAAAAAAATTGAAAAAGTTGAGGAAGATCAGATGAGATTGGATTCTACAGGATTAAAAATATTAGATATTATTTGGATTTAAGCAGACAGCATAATATAAAATTGCTAGTAGCCTCAAATATTCACAGAGAATGGAAGAGTAGACTACAAGGACTTTAGAAACCTCAGTACTGGATGGTTATTATCTCCCCAGGACTCTCTCCCTTTCTCAAATTTGTCCCCATCCTTAACCCTTTTCAGAAGACTTGATCTTGCTGACTCTTTCCCTCTAACACCTGTCCCCTAATCTTCAGGTTTACTCTGGAGCAGTCACCTTAGTACATACTGAACCTGCCCTTGACCCTACTTGAGTGTCCAGGAATGGGTATCTGATCCCATTCACAATCAAGTTTATGATATAGAAATCACACCAATGATGCATTTTTTCATAAATTAATAAGCATACATCTTAATATGTGTGTTATTTTACAGCTTGCCACTCAAATGTACTTGCTTTGTTTTCTTAAGTTCAAGAGGCGTATTAGGAAGTTATGAAAAACACAGACTTTGGAATCAGGTTAACCAGGATTCAGACCCCAGTTCTGTTGCTTATTAAGTGAATGACCTGTCCAAGCCTATTTCCCCGTTTTGTAACTCAGGGTAACGTGACTTAATCACAGAATTGTTGTAAGGATCTAAGGAGGCGGTACATGTAAAATTCTTAGCATAATATCTGGCTCAGAGTAAGAATTTAGTCACTTCAGATGATGATGATGATGTTAGAGGAAGATAAATATTATTAGTATTATTGCTGGAAACCAGAGTTAAACTGGAATAGGAAAAGTCTGTATTTTTTGTTTGTGATGTTAATGCTCGGGTTGAGCATGGAAGGTGTTGGCTTATGGCCTTTCTGATCAGAAAGCCCAAAAATCCATACATCAGGATCCAAAAATTAGGATCTCAGCACAGTAAATCATGGCAAGAGTTGTCATCTTTATAAGTAGAAGAAAATATCTATTTGAATGTGTTGAGTCATTTCAAAAATCTCCTGAAGAATACACTGGGATTTGACTGGGAAGTTTTACACAGGGAGGGACTCAGACTGGTCGTCCTGAAGTTCACAGGGGTTAGTAAGAATTTAAAGGTGCAAAGGAAACTCCCTAAGGTGAGCTCTGGGTCACAGGTAAAAACAAAAGTCATGATTGCATTCTTTAATTGAATGCCTGGGAAACATCAGTGGAACACGTACGAATTCCTGTGGTCACATTCATCCTACAACAAACACAGTATACTGAGTTTGTTAACACTGAAATTCTGACTTGCTGTCTGACAAGTGCAAAGGGGATCCTGGGAAGGAAGGGAGAGGGGAAAGGAGGGCATACACTAGACTGGTTCACAAACAAGGGGTAGCCCACTTATGGGGGGCAAAGGACTCCAAGTCCCAAGTCCCCTACCCATTTCTACTTCCTAGCGGGAGGAAACAATGAACTGTTACTGCTCAAGTTAAGAAGAGTGAGGGGATAAAGGAGGGAGAACTGCGTATATGTCTGCTTTAGCCCCTTTAGGACCATGAACAATTCATGCTTGAATAGAAATGCATACAAGCCTAAAGCTTAGATACCAAAACATGATTAGCCCAAAATACTTCTGGGCAAATATACATCATATTTAACCCACTAGACTTAAGATGATAATGATGGAGCTAATCTAATTTACAGTTAGTAAGAACAGTAACTCAAGACAACTGATGAGGTACTTAATAAGATAGAGTCCTTCCTAAAATGTTCAGTTCTTCCTTAAACTTTTACTGAATCAGTTAGAGTCCTGCCAGGAAAACAGAAACCATACCAGTTATTTTTAAAGAAAGAATTTTCTATGAGGAATTGGTTAAACAGAATTTGGAGAACTAAGACAGTAAAAAGAAGGTTGTGAGACTGAGACAGAGTAACTACAGCAAGCCAACTACGAGCCTTGGAGGTAAAGGCACGAAGGAAGACGTGGGGGTTACACTCCTGGAAGAGGAAGCCAGGAATAGGGCTTCTGAGAATGGGGTATGACCAACCCATTATTGGTATCTTTGAGGCAGTGCAATGAGGCTGATGCTGGGAGTACAGGAAGAAGAACCAGCGGCTCAAGCCAGGGCAGAGCCACTGTGGGGTATTGCAGGCAAGAACCATAAATAGAAAGCTGTAGTCCCTTAGCTCCTCCTCCAGCTTTCAGTATTCCTCCAGCGCCCCCTACTGGTGGGACTAAAGGACCAGGATGACAAACAACTGTGGTTTGCAGAGCCCTAGGTTCTGCATCACAAAGCCAAGTCTCAGCCAAAGGGACGACCTGACCTGGATTCATCCTGTGTTTCCAAGTCTTTCTGGGAAGAAGGATGTAGCATATTTTGGGGACTCTGACAATCCTGACCATCCTCTCACTCCCTCCCACAAAAAAATAAATAAAATTATTTTCCATTACTGAAGATTCTTTTTTCTAAGATAAAGGCAGTTGATCTAATTTTAGGGTCGTTTTTCTTTATTTGTACATTTGAAAACAGGTATTTGTAAGGGAAAGAGAGGGAACGTGTTTGAAGTAAATTGTTTATTCTATTTACAGACTGTGTCCAATTTTTACAACTTCCTGTCAAGGACTAGAGCTGAGACTGGCTCTCAGATTTTCTTTATACTATTTCAATACATTTCTTAATTTCAACCCCTGCCCAAACCATTATGAGGAGCACCGGGCCTTGAATCAGGCCCGTAAGTTCCCGCGCCACTGCTCACAGGCTTGGGAGACTTCATTTAGGCGGACACTTCAGACTTTCTTAGTTTCCCTTTCCTCGTCAGTAAAATATGGGACAATACGGAATCACAGACGGTGAGGATGAAATGAAATCAAATAGTAGGTATGGAAGCGTGTCTGGCAGTATGTTGAGAAATACCCATTTCATTCTTCTTCCAGCACTGAACTCTGACATTTCAAAACCTTGAGAGGCGTGACATCCAGGCCTGCATACCAGAATCACTTTTCAGTGTGCTCCTCACTCTTTGCTGGAGTGAACTTTTACCTGCAGTAGTGACTGACCTCTTTGGGGTGGGGCCGTGGAAACTCGCACAGACGCTCAGAACTGAAACAATGAGTGGCTGAGAACTAGAAGTCGCGGGACCCTCCCCTCGCCGTGGCATCCATCTCGGGCTCCGGCGGCGCGCGGGTGGGGCGCGGGCCTCGCACCACCTCCCTGGGCGCCGGGCCTCCCGGAGCGCCGCGCGCAGCCGGAGCTGCGAGCCCTGGGCGCAGAGGGCAGGCCGCGCCGCCGCAGCCCGCCGCTCGAGAGGGGGCGTCGGACTCTGCCTGCCGCCCGCTGAGATGTGACCCGACCCGGCCGCCCATGTGGGGCCCCCGACCCCCAGCGAGGTCGGCGGCGCGAGGGGCCAGGGCGCTGGGCTGCCCCGCCCTGCCGCTGTTGCTGCCGCCGCTGTTGCTGCTTGCGGCCGCGCCGTCGGGACGCGCAGGTAGGTGGGTCGTCCCGGGCACCGCCAAGTGGGGGACGCGGACCTGGCCGAGCCGGCCCCACCAGCAGCCCAGCGCCGCGGGGCGCCGTCTTGCCCGGGTTTCGCTTTTCCGTAGGTGGAGCGGGAGGCGTGGGGCGTGCGCTGGGAGCCCCAGGGAGAAGTTCACCGCCACGCTCGCACACCTGGCTCTGCGTCAAGTTTGCGCGACCCCGCGTTTCACACTTTCCCTTGCGGGTGTTGCAGGGGGGCGGAGGAAGTTAGACGGCGGTCGCTATAAGTGGTACCCATAGCTCGCAACGTGCTGTCCGTGACATTGACCGTGCGCTATGCTCTCGCCGGGACGTCGCAGGCTCCCGCCGCCCCCGCCGCGGCCGCGCCAAGAAGGCGTGTCGCGATTGCGCCCCCCCGCGGGCCGCCAGGACCTGTTGCCCTTTCACAGGGTACTCACCGCAATAGAGGTGATGCCTGCACTTTCAGAAAGCCAAACTCCCTAAAAGGATCTGCTCGGAAAGAATGGGATTTAGAAACGGGCAGCCTTTTTTAAATACACCCTCGCCTGGGCACATCATTTTTTACTTTGCAGATACGACCATGTACAGATAAGTACTCCTTGATTTTTCGGAAATAAAACTTTTAACTGATCCATGATATTTGGAAACTGAAGTGTTTTTGGTTTTGTTTTTAAGTTTAAACTCTACCAGCTGGAATCCAGTAAGCCAGAATGATTAATTAACCTGATTTTTTTCTTCTTCTTCTGTATCTCTGGTATAAAGAAAAGGATTTGTTTTCCTGGGACATCTCTTTATTTTTGAATTGTAATCCAATACAATTATTGTTACATTTGCTGTTCAAATTGTACCAGTTTTGGCCATTTATAGCCCTTGTAGTTTGGCTCCTTTGCCCTTTAGACAAGACCTGTTCTTTTTGAGCACCTCATTGCTTTCTAGCACCACAAAACGTTGTAGGTTTATCTTGTATTTCCCCTTCCCAGGCCTGGTATCAACCACTTCCCAAGAGCTTTAGGTCTTTCTATTGGAGAATAGTATTTAGAAACCAAGATCTGGGTGCCAGGCATGCTCATGCTACTGGAATGTTTCTAGCTCTCTCATTGGACAGGGCTGGGAATTATAAATACGTGCACTAACCCAGTCACCCACACACACATCTCTCTCTCTCTCTCTCTCTCTCTCTCTCTCTCTCTCTCTATATCTATATATATATATATATATATATATATATTATGATATATACACGTATTAAAGATGATGAGCTTACACTGATACCTTTGATTCCAGTCCAACAGCATAGAGTTCATACTGGCCTTCCTTTCTTTATTTGTAGCTTCTTTCTTCAACAATGAGAAACTATAATATATTTGCCTATGTGTTCACTATGTGTTCAATTTTAGTATAAAATGGTTTCAGAATTGCTAACCCATGCTCCTATGAGAAGCACATTTACTAACTAGACTATAGTGCTTATATATAGTTCTTTGGTCTTTAGCTTTACAATAGCCAGTCAAGATATTGTTGGTCAAAGTTACTTAGTCATTTTTTTCTTCACCTCCTTTATTGTGGTTATGTTATCCACTTGCAATATGGTTAGGTTCATTTGTCATTCGTTCAGTTGGGGTTCTGCCACAGGATGGTTGGTTTTATTTGTTCATTTGGGGGTATTGGAAGGATATGTGAAACATTACTATGGTTTAAGAGTCAGAGCTACACAAAATGGTACACTCAGAGACACATTGCTCCCTCCTCATCCCTATGACCTAGTTCCTATGCTTCACCACCTCCCATAGGTAACCAGTCTCCTTAGTTTCTGGTTTATTCTAGATATTTCTTTTGCACCAATGAGCAGATAATTGTATGTGTGTTTTCATATCCTCCTTCTTTCTTACATGAAACATAGCATGTAGAGATATTCTTGCAGTTTCCTTGTTTTTACTTGACAGGATAGTTCTTTTCTGCTTCACAAATCAGAACTCCTCAAGGGAAGGCCCTGACCATACTAGCCAAACTCATTTCAAAACTAAATTATTTCCAATATTTTCTTCAGCATAGCATGAAAACATCTTGTTTTAAACCTACCATATGCTAGTGGTCAAGAATCAGGTGTAAATCTGGGTTCTTCACTACAGCTAGTACAGGATTTGCCCACTCAGATGTTCTTTTCATCAAACAAGGTTGCCATTTGTTTTTGTCTGTTAAACAAAGAATGGCTTCATGCCATACTATACATGCAAACTATAAAGTGCTAAGAAATTTAAATATCTAAGTCATAGCAAACAGGCAGCAGTTCAACATCCAGGGTCCACAGAATGCTTGCAGGAGCCTGCAACAGATTAGACTCCCATGGGGGAGAGGGCCTCTTTCGAGGTGAGGGGGCCCAGGAGGTATAACAGCTTTTCAGGTTCCCTCTCCTCATCAAGGATAATGAGAGGCACCCCATTTAAGAGGAGATGTGCAATCTGGTGCTCTTCAGGCGGGCTGAAACACAAACCACGGAGGACTGGAGGGAAAGGATTTTTCCATTTCTGGATAGGTGTTATCCAAGGTAGTAACAGAGCTTTTTGTTTTGTCTTCTCAGTCATCTTTTTGGCAGAGAAGACTGTCTGTTTTTGTTTGAGAGGTCCATTCATCTTTACTGCCTCCTCCGCTTTCTCTCCTATTGCCTTTGGATCAGACGTGAGATGGATTCTTGTACATGTACATTTGCATGGCCTCCCTATAAATCAGCTTGAGGCCCATCCCCAGCACGTCTGGAGAGCATCATATAACCCAAAATCCAAGCATGCGGCTGTAGGTATCACCAGCCTCACTCTTCAGAATGGCAGTCCTGCTGGCTGTAACTTTTACTCAGCTTCCTGTAGAATAAGTTCAGGAAAGACAGTATTTGCTGTAGAGACCAGCTAAGGAGATGAGTTACCTGAGGGAGGTGGCATGGTACAGGAACAAGGTGGTAGGGATGAAAGGGGAGCCACACTTCTCTGAGTATACGTTTTTATATAGCTCTGACTCTTGGAATCATAGGTACAGCACATATTTTCCATTTACACATAAACTTTGGTTAAAGACAAAGATAATAGGCAAATAGAATTATTAATGCTAAAAAATAATACTTTAGTATACGCATTTCAACATAAAGCATCAACTGTTTTTATATTTTTAATAAAATTGCATATCTATGTGTTGCATTTTTTAGTACTTCATGTAGTACTTGTTACAAAATATTACTCAGTAAATTTGTATTCTTTGGTTAAAAACACCTTTCATTATATGCTTGATATCCTTATAATAATTTTTTAACTTGCATCTTTCTCTTCAATGTACAATTTTACCAGGTGTCATTGACACATTTACCTACATGATGATAAAAAAGATAGTATATTTTAATAAGCAAAATCATTTTATCCATCTTAATTATAACAGTACTTCTATGCTATAATTGTGATATTCTGACAGCATTTTTACTTTTCTTGGTCCACCTTTATGATTATTTGACACAAAAGCTGATAAATGAATTAAATCACAATAATCAATTCCAAGATGTATCAATTACCTATAAAACTGGAGAACAAGAGAACTTTAGGAAAAAAAGAATGCTGGCTGGAGACATTAAAATTGAGTATTTCCTCTGCTTTATCTTTCAGAATTCCTTTTGTTACAGAAACCTAGGGTTAAAGTCCCAATTAACTGCCACTCTCTTGAATCTCCTCCCAGTATTACTCCCAAGTCATTGCCTACTGTACTGGTTTCCTAAGGCTGCCATAACAAAGCACCACAAACTGGGTGGCTTAATAATATTGGGTCTTGGGAAAAGTCATGATGCATGTTTGCAACACATGGCACTAGTTCATTTTTGGAAGTATCAGAGTCATTCGCATCTATGTTATTCCCATGTCATTTGACAGCTGACAGTTCTAGCTTCATTCTAAAAAAAAAAAAATTGAGGGGCCGGCCAAGTGGCTCAGTTGGCTTAGAGCTCGCTCAAGAGTTTGAGCTCTGAGCAACAGCGGTTCGAGGCCAGCCCGAGCTGAGCAGCCGCTAAGCTGCCAATAGGTAGCAGGATGGCTCAGCTAAAAAAAAAAAAGAAAAAAAAGATAAAAAAATATTGAGCAATTTGTTTGAGTTTTGGAGATTTTGCAACAAGTTGAAGATGGAAGACCAAATTGGTGCATTTTTACTATATTTTACTGTTTTACTTCCATAAAGGGAAGAATGTGTGTCAAGCTTGTGAAAAGTTTCATAAAGTTTACGGTGGCAATGCTCTACAAGAACATCAGTGCCAACGATGGTTCACAAAATTCTGTGCTGGTGATTTTGATCTCAATGACGCTCCTCGGTCAGGAAGGCCCACCGAGGTTGATGACAACAAAATAAAGGCATTGATCGAGTCAAACCCACGTTACATGACATGAGAGTTTGCAGAAACATTGAACACCCATCATTCAAGCTTTCACAACCACCTGAAGAAGTTGCAATACATAAGCAAGCTCGATATTTGGGTTCCACATGAACTCAAAGAAGTTCATTTCATGGCGCATATAAACATTTGCAATATGCTCATGAAACGTGAGGAAAACAATCCTTTTTTGAAGCGACTGATAACTAGTGATGAGAAGTGGATTGTTTACAACAATGTGTTGTGCAAACAGTCTTGGTCCCGACGTGATGATTTGCCTCAAACGACATCGAAAGCAGACATTCATCAGAGGAAGGTTATGCTGTCAATGTGGTGGGATTTTAAAGGTGTCATGTTTTTTTGAGCTCTTACCAAGGAACCAAACAATCAATTCAAATGTGTACTGTCAGCAATTGGATAGTTTGAACGAATCCATCATCCAGAAATGTCCAGAGCTTGTTAATTGTAAAGGAGTTGTGTTCCATCGTGACAATGCGAGGCCACACAAGTTTGATTGTGGGGTAGTGGGGACAGTTTTCCCACAATGAGACCAAAAGCTACCCCCAATGAGACCGACGATAAAAAGAAATACACAG